ATGCACCAGGCCCTGCCCCAGTGCTGTGGTGACTGTCACACAACACAGAGCCCAGGTGTGTGCATTGGTGCTAGGATCTTCATGCCCCCTCAGCAAGGCCTCTACCCCATGAGCCACCACTGCAGCCACCTGCCTTCAATCCCCTGGATATGATGTCAGAAGCAGCATTCCTGAAGCACATGGCCGGTACCATTACTGTCCTTACTTAGACTGATTGTTTCTTTGGATGTTTTTCTCCTTCCTTTTTTCTGAATGTTTGGTTCTACTCTACTGATTTCCAGAATTGCTCTACAACCTGACATCCAATGAATAGAATCAGGAGGGTACAGGCACCAGAGCCATGCATACTAGCCTCATTACAGATGTCAGGACTTATCTAGATACTAGAGTCCCCAGTTCATCCTGAGATGCTGTGGTTAGTTAAGGTCATAGACCTATGGGCCGAGCTCTCTCTAAGGAGCCACAAGGGGCAGCTAATGTAGCTCTGGCACAAGGAGAAGTCTGCAGGCTTTGAGGATCCCTCTGCCCTCCTCCTGAATGGTTCAACCCTGGCATCTGATTGAACGAATAGTGAAAGGAGCCATCCTGTCCAAGGGACTGAAACTCAAATACACAGAGAGGTGTCTTTCAATGCCTGGCCTTAAAACTGCCATAAACAAATGCTTTAACATTGAGCTATATCACTGACACAACTGTAGATGGGGGGCTTTAGAAGGAATTGAATAGGTGTGAGAGAGTTATTATTTCTTTGTTTTGTTGTGTTTTTTGAGACAGAATTTTTCTCTGTGGTCATGGCTATCTTAGAACTCACTCTGTAGACCAAGCTGGCCTCAAACTCAAAGATCCACCAGCCTCTGACGCCAAAGTCATAGAATTAAAGGGATTCTCCACCACCTTGCTAAAAATGTTTTTTCATTCGATAAATTTTGACTACTCCTTTGCTTCCCGAAATTCTCCCAGATCACCCACCAAGAGTTCCTTTTACTTAATGTCCTTGTTAACTATCATTAATCCCCTCTCTGCTGTCTCTGCATGTGCCAGTCCTGTGAGCTGGACTCAAGCTAGTTTTCTCTGGGAAGAGAGAGCCGAGATAGAGAAGATGCTCCTGGCAGACTGGCCTGTGGTGTGATGTGTTCTGTGGGAGGGCCCAGCAACCAGTGGATGCTGCCACCACTGGCACATAGTCCTGAATGATATAAGAAAGAAGTCTAAAAAGCCAGTAAGTAGCACTCCTCCCTGGTCTCTGCACTGGCTACTGCCTGGGGTCCCAGCCCTTACTCCCCTAAATGATGGTATTATAACCTCTAAGATGAAACAAGCACTTTCCTCCCACTGTTGTGTTAGAACACAGTGATAAAAACCAGGCAATGGCAGTCTGGATCTACTCCAGTTGTTTCTTCCTCTGATTTTCCTATGTATATGTATTAGAGGTGCTGTGGGTTGAGCCCAGGGTTTGCAGCATGCTCTTCACACTTCTGGTCTCTTGGAAGTGTGGGAGAGTTGATGGTTTATTTCGTTATTGGTGTACTTTGCATAACATTGTTTTCATTCACCTTAACGTGTCCGATACCCTTTGCATTTTGACCCTCTGGTTGTTTGAGAACATGGTTGCTAATTTCCACATGCCTGTCCTGTGTCCATTTCACTACTTAAATGAGATTTACAGCCTCATTCCACAGTGGCAGGAAATATCCTTTCACGAATTTTTTGGAGTCAGGGTACCTCTATGCAGCCCAGGCTGGCCTCGAACTCCCTATGTAGAACAGACTGACCTTGAACTCAGAGATCCATCTTCCACTCTTTTTGACACTATGGCACCACCAGATCTACAGGCACAACCATAGGGACCTCTGAGTGTCCTCCACTGACTCTGACTCCTTTCATGGATCGATAACTTTATTGCTCTTATCCACTGTAATTTTCAAAAATCCCTATAATCTCCCTCTCAGAGATACCATTGCCAATATTTCCTCCTTTACCTTTGCCATCATAACTTCTTCCACCTGCATTGCATACAGCACCTTAGTTTCCATATCCTGGTGTACCATCACCATATCCCCTCTACTGCCATAACCAAGGCGTCACCACAGACTGGTCTACTGCTCTATGCAGGACACCACCATGGCTTAGTCTTCTAAGCTCCACCAACACCACAATCATTCAGAAAACCTCCAGCTGCTCCTCCAGAGCTCATCAGATGGCCAGAACTCCCTGCCTGACCTCTCTGTAATCTTATAGAATAAGATTCTTATTTAGAAAGGCCTGTTCACCCCAAAGTTATGCCCTTTAACTGTGGTATTTCTCAACAATTTTACCAAGTGTAGTACGACCATCACAAGTTACAACAATTAACTCTCCTTTTTCACTCCACCTTCAACAATGACTAATGTCTCAGTCTCCAGAAACTCTATTATCCTAACGTCTTCTACAACTCTATCCACAAACATTTTCTTTACTGTTCAATGAGCAGCGGGCTCTACAGATTCCTATGCAGAGAAAACTCTTGATGGAAATACTAGGTATCCTTCAGCCTTGTTTGGTCCAGCACAAATCCTGGCACCTACCTCAACACAACAGGAAGTCACAATACCAAACCCAATGGATGCCTTGTTGGGAAGGTCTCTCATTTCCAAGTCATGACTCAAAATGTTCTCTTCAACAAAGACCAGGAATTTTAAAGCTCTAAAAACCAATGCAAAGCTGCCTCAATTGTTGTGGATGGTTGGGATCATGGCTCTCTGTTCATAGAGCCACACTTGTCTCATCCTCCTCAGTCTCAGTCTGGAACCTGATATTGTGATCCTGTACTTCATTCCTTTCCCTTCATTTCTGTCTTGGTACTATTTTCTCATTCTTTATTATGAAGGTTAAGTCAAAATATTTACAATTCCTGCAGTTTGTTACCTACAGAATGTGCAGCTCAAGCATTGGTTCTGTGGTTTCAGATTCCATAAGTAGCAACACATGGTAATGGACCACAGTACACAGTGGCCTTACACCATAAGGGTTACAGAACTCTCCAGGGATGAAAGTGTCACCAACTCAAGCCAACCTCAGCCATCCTTTGCCCAAACTAAGCTTTCCCCATGCCATATGCAAGAATCACTGTCATTCCAGTGAATCACATCGGACTTTTCAGGATGCTTAGGGAAATGGGAACACCTAAAGATGACCCTGAGACACATGTTAGTCCTGATTTGAATGAAACAAGGCAGATGGAAGGTAGAAAAGAGAATAAACAGTGCACATCAGTGTCTGGGAGAAACATGCCAGGTTGCATCTGACCTCTTCCAGTGGAGTCCAAAAGACAGTGATCAAGTATCTGTTAACATGTGTGTAGAAAACTGAAAACCTGGGAGCACTTTGGCCTGGAGCAGCAGTGCTTGATGGCCAGGGACTCAGTCCCAGCTTCCAGTTGTGGACATGGTACTCCTGTGCTGCTGACAAAAATATTCAGACCCCAATCTCCATAAAGTCACATGACCTGACAGACCTCAGTTGTTCACATAGCTGACAAGACATGGACTGAAGATGAAAGGAAGTGTACAGTGCCAGCAGGCAGATGATTAGCAGGGCATCCAGGTCCTCTCCCAAGAGCTGGAGACAGAGAGGAAACCCATTACAGCACACCAGGTATGACATCCCTCACTGGCTGTGCATTTACCTCAAAAGGGCTCACTTACCTGATGCAGGAAAATCCAGCCTGAGCCGGCCAATCACCCACTAGGGACAGCACCCAGTCAGCACCACTGCTTCTCTTTAATAATATCATGAATAACACAGACAGGTAGAGATGAGAGGCCAAATCACATGTTTCTCCCAGCACCGACACACAGGTTTAATCATCAGGCACCAGAGCATACCCTGGAAGGGCTCTGGAGCAAACCAGGAGGAACCCAGCAGCCTGAAACTGAAAATGACCAAAAAATTGTCTCTCTGATCCCTTTTTACCCATGATCCATGCTGCTGTCTTGACTCAATGTAGGTCTCCTTTCAGTCCAATATGGGACTAGAGAAAGACCTTTAACTCTGCCCCAATCTATGGTGTAATTCCAGGACACAGGTTTCAGCAGAACCAAGAATCATGGACAGTAAGAGGGAGCAGGATTAGAGGCTTCAGGCCAGCAAGAAGCACAGAGTCACCTACAGGCTCCAGGGACACATAGGTGATCAGTGCATGCATGGCATGAGCAGCAGATAGGAGGAGAACAGTTTGTACTATTTCCTGTGGAGCTGCACAGTGTGTTCTCTGCTCAGCTCCTGCCTCGATTCTGCTACACTAGAGGTGCAGTAGAGAGAACCTGTCTAGATTCCACTGTGACTTCTGAACCTTTGATCTTTAGAGATCTGGATCCCCAGCAAGGACAAGGACTAAGCCTCTGCTGACCCTCGTGAATGGAGAGCAGGCATGTGCAGTGTGTCCAGCAGTGCCCAGCTCACAAGCTCCATTTCATTGAAAGCTCAGGAGTCATCTTTCTGGTTTCCCCATGGCAGCCCACAATGACCACAGGCCTCTTGCATAAGGAAGAAATCTACCTTACCTATCTCCATGAGGAAGATTGTTGCCAGAAGACACTGAGCCACCAAGAAGCAAAGAGTGAATAAAAGACAGAGGCCAGCAGGTGACAAGTTCCAAACCAAATTAGTGGTTCCCCAAGATTCTCAGACCATTTCTCAGCTCCCTCAGACTGGGTCTGAGAAATCATATGTTGTATATCTTGCTGACTGATGAAAAAGATGACCACAGGCCTGTACTGAAGATGGAACATGCTCCAGCTGCCTTCCCCCCACTGCCTCTAACTGACACCCAGATATTCCAGCTGCTATCCACAACTGAATATCACTGGCTACTCCCTACACTTAGCTAAACAAACACAGGATTGGGGCTAGACACAGAGGACAAAGGGCAATTCTGGCACTCCTTTATAAGGTGGCAGGATCCAGCCTTCGGGCTTGCTGATCCTAGGTGTTGTATTGAGTGTTGGTTATTCGTCTCTGGGAAGCCTGGGCAGCAGTGGGGCTGTAATGGGGCTGCTGACTGGGACTGGCTTGTGGCCTGTGGCCATATTCACAGTCATCTTTATATTACTGGTTGACCTGATGTACCGGCGCCAGCGCTGGAATTCTCGTTACCCACCTGGCCCTGTGCCACGGCCTCTGCTGGGTAACCTGCTCCAGGTGAACCTAGATAACATGCCATACAGCTTGTACAAGGTGAGTGACTTAGTGGTCCATGGTAACTGAGGATATGGTGTCCATAGCAGCACATAGTGGGGATCGAGCCACTGGTCAGATAGGGATCCGATCCCCAAGAGGAGACAGGCATAGGACTGTTTTGGTGACACCTGCTGGGAATTTCTAGGGCAAAAAGATTGGGAGACAAAGTCCAGGAGGTGACTCATGATGTGACAGCAGGGTTTAGTCTGGTTGAAGAGGACTGTAACCATAGAAATCCCAAGTACATTATGATGTTGTCAGAGACATAATCTTGGCCTTCTGTGAGGTCCACTGTACCATATCAGTCAGGACACCAAGCAGAGAAAGGGGCTGTGACTGCCTGAATCTCTAGCTACTGTGTGCTCTCTGGAGTCACTGCCCATCTCAAGGAACCAGAGTCTCTTCGTGTGTTTTGACATGCTAAGGGACCCCAGGACAGTTTTCTGGCTCTATCTAGGTCACAGCAGGGATGCTATATCTACAGTGATTCCTTTGCTGAACTTAAAAGATAAGAAGCCACAGTGGTAGGAATCGTGATGCAGGGGATGAAGCTCTGTGAACAGCATTTCCACAGCATTTCCTAGGATATACGAGGACGAAGAATCAATAATAAGCAATACACACACAAGCATACATGTACACACACATATACACACACAGAGAGACTCACATACACATACACACACATTCTTACATACATAACATGAGAGAGACAGAGAGACAGAGACAGAAACAGAGAGAGAGAGACAGAGACAGAGAGGTAGAGATAGATAGAGAGAGAGAGAGAGAGAGAGAGAGAGAGAGAGAGGTGGACTAACATGCACATAAGCACATTCATTCACACATACAAGCACGCATGTGTAAACATATACAAACATGCACATACGCACATAGAAACTGCCTGTGCATGCTCACAATTTGACAATGATTGTGCAGTGAGCCTTGATCTATGATCTGTGTGGACCTCCACTTCCTATGTTTTCTGTCCCTCTACTTCAGCTTCACAAACGCTATGGTGACATGTTCAGCCTTCAGATGGTCTGGAAGCTTGTAGTTGTGATCAACGGACTAAAAGCAATGCAGAAAGTGCTGGTGACCTATGGAGACAACACTGGTGACCTCCCTGCAATGCCCATCTTTGAGTGCCTGGGTTTGAAACCCAAATCCCAAGGTAAAGAGTTGTGGACAGTGCAGATGGCTTCCGAGATATAGCGTTGAGCAGAGGAAGCACGAACACGAATGTGGGTGGGAATGCAGTCAAGCAATTCCTGAAAGTCACTGAAATCCAGGTGACTACCCAGAAGGCATGCACTGCATTGTGGTAGCAAGGTTTTGAGAGGCTCATGACTAGGACAGAACCCAGAGGAGGAGAGAGCAGCTGAGAGCAGGAGACAGCATAGCTGGGCATCCTTGCTTACACACAGATGTGTCTACAGGTGTGGTCCTTGCACCATACGGGCCGGAGTGGAGAGAGCAGAGGCGATTCTCTGTGTCTACCATGTGCAACTTCGGCCTGGGCAAGAAATCTCTGGAGCAGTGGGTGACCAAGGAGGCCGCCACCTCTGTGATGCCTTCACTGCCCAGGCTGGTGGGTGATGGGCGAGGGATGTAGTTGGGCAATGGGAGACATGGGCAGTCCATGGACTTGCTCGTATCTCCACTGCATCTCTACTCCCAGGGCGGTCCATCAATCCCAACACCATGCTGAACAAAGCGGTGTTCAATGTGATTGCATCCCTCATTTTTGCCCGTCACTTTGAATATGAAGACCCTTACCTCATCAGGATGCTGACAATACTGGAAGAAAATTTGTCAGAAGTTTCTAGCTTCATTCCTGGGGTAAGAGTTCAGGCATACTGATCATGTCATTTCTGTGCATTCTGTCTTCCCCGGGAAGCTGTGTGCCAAGGCTGTGGAAGAGGCCTTGTGGGGATCAACTGCAGGAGGATACAACTGTTGAAAACTGTTCAATGACAGGAGGAGAAAAGTGGACCAAATCAGGATTTCCAGAAAGGGAGAGAACATTGTCCCTCAGTTTTCATGGAAGATACAAAGCCTGTGGTTATCACCAGAGTAGAATATTCCTTCTGCTTACCTGGGTCTCCGAGACTATTTAGGTGGCTCTTGCAAATTTAACAATTAAGGAGGAGGCAGGTTACATGTGGGGACAGACAGGCTCTGAGTCCACTGTAAAGGAGGCTGGCACTGAGCCTGGTCCAGGTAGACAGTGAGCATCACTAGCACTGAGGAGCCAACCAAATGGTGAGTGGGTAAGAGCTTGTCAAGCAAGCCTGGAGACCTGAGTTTGATATGTGGGACCCTTGTAAGATAGAGACAATTGACTCTATACATTGTCCTGTCATTTACACCCACCATGGCACAGCAGCCCCATACGTGATCATGAGTCACTAATAATTTTATGAAGAGGAATCTCTGAGAATTCCTGTGTCTCTCGCAGGTTCTTAATGCATTCCCGATTCTCCTGCGCATCCCAGGGCTGGCTGACAAGGTCTTCCAACGTCACAAGACCTTCGTGGCCATAGTGGATAACCTGTTGACTGAGAATAAAACCACGTGGAACTCTTCCCAGCCACCCCGAAATTTGACTGATGCCTTCTTGGCAGAGATAGAGAAGGTAATTGGCTGCTCCAAGTGATGTAGCCAGGGGCTGTGGGCTGATGTCCTGGGAGCTGTGAGGCCAGAAGGATGTGTTCCTATGCATCACCATGTAACTCACCACCTGGGCTGCCCAGGGGACAATGGGAGGCCACGTGAACCTCCTCTCCTGACTGAGTCTCATCTTTCTGTCTGGACAAGGCCAAGGGGAATCCTGAGAGCAGCTTTAACAATGAGAACCTGCGCATGGTGGTCATTGACTTGTTCACTGCAGGGATGGTGACCACCTCAACCACACTGTCCTGGGCCCTGCTGCTCATGATCCTGCATCCAGATGTGCAGAGTGAGCATGGCTGGGCTGGGAGAGAGGGAGGGGCACACTCCCCAGATGACTTCAGACACTTGTGGCTCCTAGGACTGACTTAACCAAGAATTCAGTACTGCTCACTGTTGTTTTTCACATGGACTGAGCCCTTAATATGGCTGTAAGACAGGGAAGTCCCCCATGACGGTTTCACTGAGGGGATGCTGTCCCTCCAGGCAGAGTCCAAAAGGAAATCGACGAGGTCGTAGGGCAGGTGTGGCGTCCTGAGATGGCAGACCAGGCCCACATGCCCTACACCAATGCTGTCATCCATGAGATACAGTGCTTTGGGGACATTATTCCAATGAATTTTCCACGCATCACGAGTCATGACATTGAAGTGCAGGACTTCCTCATCCCCAAGGTAGGCCTGGGCCTGTTAGTATTTCATCATGACCACTGTCATACAAGGGCAGGAGAGATCACTACATACAATTCTCAACATGTTCACAAGGACCACACTGCATGCAGGCTGCAGCCTTCAAGAGTCGGGAAAGGGAAATGGCAAACAAAATGGCAAAAGATCACTTAATGGAGCACTGCACACATGGATCTGTCACAGGGCTCACCAAGATTCTGAGAACCTCTGGGATTCGGATTGAATGAGGGAATGCAGTGAGTGCAGGGAAGAAGTTATGCATGTGAACATGGTTACTATGGTCTAGGCAGCCCAACCCCAGTCCCTGTTCACAACATGTGCCTTCTGCCAGGGGACGACCTTCATCCCCAACCTGACCTCCGTGCTGAAGGATGAGACTGTCTGGGAGAAGCCCCTCCACTTCCATCCTGAACACTTCCTGGATGCCCGGGGCAACTTTGTGAAGCATGAGGCCTTCATGCCATTCTCAGCAGGTGCCTCTGTGGGGCCTGGCTGCCTGTCTGTCCCCAGGGTGTCCCAGAGGGTGGAGCCCCAATCAGGTCCAAGACTGACTGAGCCCTTTACCACCCACAGGCCGCCGAGCATGCCTGGGGGAGCCCCTGGCCCGCATGGAGCTCTTCCTCTTCTTCACCTGCCTCCTGCAGCGCTTTAGCTTCTCGGTGCCTGCAGGACAGCCCCGGCCCAGTGACAGTGGCACTTTGGCTTTTCCAGTTGCTCCCTCCCCCTACCAGCTCTGTGCTGTGATGAGGGAACAAGGACACTAATTCCAGACCTGCTCTGCAGGGCAGGCTGAGCCATGCTAAATAAACCTGTCTTGTGGCAACTGCTGTTTCCTACTTCAAACTCAGCCCTGTCTTGCTGGGTCCTCAGACAACATTGTCCAACCACCCTTTCCCAGCTGCCTCATCCCTCCCCAGGAGACAACTTGACTGCTGAGATTGAAGAGTGTGCTGGGTCTGCACCATTGGTACAGGGCTGCAGTTTCAGCACTTGGGATCCCAAATCAGGAGGATCATGTGTGTGCAGCTATCCTGGGATATACAGCAAGGCCTAGGTCAGCCTGGGCTATACAACCAGGAGAGTCTGCCTGGTAAAATTAAAGCAGCCCTCTGAAGAGGGTACACTAAGAAGAAAGGAAGGGTAGAAAGAGAAAGCAAGGAGGAAGGAAGAAAACAAAAAGGCAGGCTGTGGTCAGGAGTGACAGCTGACTGACCCTGCATCACTCATTAAGACCCATCAGTGCTGACCAGGTTGGAACACATTGAACGCAGAGGTCAGCTCTCCATGGGTCTCTGGGACAGCTGTAGCAGGCTTCCACTAAGAGTCAGCACTGCTCCTGTCTGGGGACATGACATGGTGGTCCCCAAGTGCCTGTGGTGATGTGAGTGAGTGGAAGGGCTCCCAGAGACAGGAAGACTGTTGTCCTCACAGTGGTGACTGCAGAGAAATGACAGAGAAGAAGAGCAGCAACAGGCAAAGTGACAGCAGAGACCAGGGAGTCTGGCACACTCCCTGCTGTCTGACAGATGTGTTAGAGGGTGGGACTCCCAGTCACCAGTGTAGCTCAGGCTGAGGACATGGCTCACAGGGAACCTCAGTGAGTCTCACTGTCCAGGGGCCTGGTGGGTGCCAGAGAGATGGAGCATACATTTGGCTGAACTGTCTCCACATGCTCCAAGTCACACTCAAGTAACTAGGGACCACTTGCCTATTCCCTGTTACAGGTATAAATGGTGCCACATGTCCCTGAGCCCCAGCTGTCCAGAGACACTGCTATCAGCATGCCCCAGGCTCACACTCAAGGCCTCCTACAGCCTGACAGGACTCAAGCAGTTGTGCTTGACTATACAGGACAGAGCACCCCAAGCTGAGGTCACCCTTCAGCCCTGGCCACACTTCTTGCCATACCAGGCAGATTGATGCGTTTGTCTGAGCACCTCTTTTGTTTTATTTTTGTCAGACATCGCTAATATCAACCAGCATCACCATTTTATTTATTGTGGTGTTGAGGATTGATCCCAAGGCCTTATGTGTTCTCAGGCAGAACACCCCAGTGCAACATAGCCAAGAGTTATGTGTGTGTGTGCTCATGTGTGTATTATGTAGTCACTTATGTGTGGCATATGTACATTTGTGTGTCAGCAGTATGTGTGTGTGTGGTGTAGGATTGTGTGTATTGGCATGTATATATGCTATGAATTCATGTATGTGTACATGTCTGTGTGTACAAGGGTGAATATGCATGTGTCTGTAGGGGTGATATTTAGAAAACAATGCCCGGTCTGGCTTCTTCCTGGGAAGCTACCATGTTCTCGATGCACTTCGGCTCTGACCAGGGCTCTGGCTAGCTAGATGCTCAGGCCCTGGCACCCACGAGATTCCAGCATGGGGGATGGCTCTGCCAATCCACCACACTGCAGCCACAAAGCTCGGCTGAACCCCAGACAATATCTGCCATCCTCTCAGAGCCCGGTAGAAATGAGACTCTTAAGGCTAAAAGATTACCAAAAGGATTTATATATTTAGAAATACTCAATCAACAATATTCCCACACAATTAGATTTGTTACCCAATATCTGACCCTTTGATAGAAGTTGCTACCCTGGACAGCTTTAGACCAATTCCTGGCTCTCCATGGCTGATAGCGTTCCTCTTCTCCTCCCCTTCTTCTCTTTCTCTCTCAGCTCCACCTCTTCTTCTACTGCCAAATCTCGGACCTCCACTGTGAATACAATGTAACAGGATAAGTATCCTGCTACATATCACCCTTTCTGTTAGAATAAAACAGAAAAAAAAAACTTTCTCTCAAAATACAATTAGAGCACAACTATTACCAGTTTGTAATAATAATGTACAAGACAGACATAATACCCAGTCCAATGTTCTCAATAAAAAGACCATTGTCATCTATCTTGACTTAATAGACTGTAGTTCTGTACCTGACTTACATCTTGGCTTTAGAATGAATGCCATCTGAAAACCATCCTCTCAAATCTGTTCTCTCAAAGTAAATAGCCTGGGTTGGCTAAGAGACTATAAGTCTTCAACCCCATCAGAAATCCAGAATGACTGAATTAACTGAAGAAATGGGAAACACAAAGCATAGCTTCCAAAACATAGTCAACTATATAGACCACTGATTACCTGGACAGTCCCTTATACTACAAAATATTCGAGCATCTAATCTTCAACCTTCTGCCCCAGGATCATCTGACAGACCTACAATGTAGAATATTGAAGGTCTGACCACTCTGCCTTGGCAGATATAATCAGTGGACTATCCTGCAAGTGTGTCCTTTTCCTGAACAGTATTTTGTCTGTAGATGAAAAGAGGCAATTTGCCTACTGGCTGTCTCACCACTACTGGAGGAACCCCAAAGATGCTTAATTTCTTCCTAGAATCCAAGAAGAGGAATCTTTCAAGAGCAGTCAAGTGATTTTAAATAAAGGAATGTCTATACCATCAATTCTGTGGACTTCAGACGTTTTTTTTAAATTAATTATTATGTAAAGCAATCTGGATTATTGGCTGTTAATTACTCTCACCTATTTCTAATTAAAATCTAGAAAACACACTAACAATAAATTCAGAACCATGAAATTGTTATAGGCCCTTACTGACATTGTTTAATCATCTAAAAGCAAGTTAAATAAACAGCTAAAGAAGAACTGACTCTAAGGCTTGAACCCACAAATTTGGAATTAATAGAAGAAATTATACTAATGAAACCCTTGAATTTACAGCAAAATATGATTTGTATCATCTAAGAAATTATATCTTCAGCTTAGTAACAATTATACAGATTTCTACCAATAGATAGGCTATACAATCAATTCTAGCTATTCCTCCCTGTTCCAATAAAACTATTACTTCTCCCTAGAAAGACAGCCTAATATTAACCACCTCATTCCCCAAGACCAGGAATTCAGGTCCAAATTCTTCATTAACTTCTTCAAACTGAAACTGTGCATTGAGATATTTGAAGAGGGGCAGGGGGAAGCATAAATAGGGGAGTTAGTTGGCCTAAGAAGGCCACACCAGTGATTGATAAGTCTCTGATGTCTGTGTCTTAACTGGATCCAGCTGGAAGTCAGGACATCAGGAGTTCAAGCAAGTCAGTTCAGCATGTTCTGACAAGGAGATCCATTCACCAAGGCTGTATATTCTGTAATACACAAATCTCAAAACAAATTTTAGCCTCATCAAGATAATTTGTGTTTGATTCTCTGGAATCTAGTCTTCTGGAGGCCTACCTCTACCATGTCTGATCCATATAATTCTGGAAGATATAACTACCTTAATGACCTCTTCTGAAAACACACAGACAAAACCTTTTTCCCAAGTCATAATGTCCTTGAACCAGTAACCAGAAAAACCTGTATCTTGACCTATTTTCCAGATGAAATATATAACTACACAATTAATAATCACACTCATTTTGAAAGTTAAAGCAATCTAAAATGAATGAATATGTAATGTATTGTATATATCTATATTCAGGTCTTTCCTATTTTGCCAAGCAGAAACTAAACCCAGAATTCCCGTGGGGCCCACATTAGACAGAACCCGAGTGTCCTGTGAGGCAATATAACTTTATACCATCTTAATACACCTGATTTACATTATATTTCTCTTTGGCTCTCTACCTAGAGCAGGTTTTTTATTTATACCATTGATCAGTTTGGCTCTGTCTGGAGCAGCCTTCTAGTTATTTATTTATCTGTGAGTCTCTCTATAGGAGCCACAGACAAATTTTATTACCTGATCAAATCAGGCAATGAATATCACTGTACTTTGTACCTGCAGTCAGTGACAGTTTTCCCTATCTTTCCCTATCTAGTTCTGAACCCCAGGCCAGATTTTCCACATGATTCCAACAAATCTGTTTCCAAATTCTTTCCTAAAAGAAAATAATCTCTATATTGTAAATTCACAGTTAAATCTGTAACTGCTCCAAAATGGAGGCTTATTGATTTGGCTCTCTTGACTCAGAAATTGAGCAGGCTGCAATTTCTCTCAGCAGGGGACCTGCCTGCAAGCAGTTTCTAGTTCAATGTTCCCGCGCTAAAGTCCCCTGACTCTTATCAGAGCTACTCACTCACTTTTTAAAAATAAAAAATAAAAAATAAAAAATACAACTTTAACTATCAGTTGAATAGTCTTAAATTTCAAACAACATTCTTTCCCCGAGTTGCTGCTCCACTTGGAGGGGTGATATTTAGAAATTGGTGCCTGGTCTTTCCCTGGCTCAGTAGGTACAGGATGAAACTCTTAATCTCAGAGTGGTGGTCTCATGCCCCATGTTGGGCACAATTTATAGAAGTGATATTTAGAAAACTGTGCCTTAACTGGCTTGTTCCCAGGCAGTCACTATATTCTCACTGCTCCTCAGCTCTGACCACAGCTCCGGATAGCTAGATGGGCAGGCCCTGGCACCCACGAGATGCCAGCATGGGGATGGCTCTGCCAATCTACCATGCTCCATGTACAAAGCTCAGCTGAATCCCAGACAATGTCTACTATCGTCATAGTACCTGGTAGAAATAAGACTCTCAAAGCTTAATGATTTTCTGTCTGCTTGCAGGTAGAATTCATATATTTAGAAATGCTAAAACAAGAAGATGCTTACACAATCAGAGTTGTTACCCAATATCTAACTTTTGATAGAAGTTGATACCCTGGACAGCTTTGGACCCATCTGTGGTTCTCCATGGCTGATAGCCTTCCTCTTCTCCTCCCCTTCCTCTATTTCTCCCCACCCCT